GGGGTTATGAAAAATTAATCCTCCTTCATAGAAATCATGTTATTTCTAGCAAGGATACTAATCTACAGTCTTTCCATCCTAGTTCTGCTATTAAAATGAATGTTCATTTATAAACATGGAAGGAAAACCATTAGCATTCTTTCAAATCAAAATATAATCACATCTTCCTGATTTCAAAGCCCATCCCTCTTGGTAAATCTCATTAATTATCCCAGACAGGTGTTTTTCAACAAAAGCTCCTTTTTGTGTTCTCTTTTCTTCTCTAGGCTCTTACTTGAGCTAATGAAGCTTCAGTGATGTCTCTGGAACAATGGAGCAATTTATATAACTACAGGTTGGAGAGAACAAATAAGGAATGGTAATTGGGGAAGGGTGCTGAAAAGAGGCGGTGGGAGCAAAGTTCCTCTGTCTTGTAAAGAGATCTCTCATTATTGGTGATTAGTGAGGAAGCATTACAGAGCCAAAAAGAAAGTAGCTGTGCTAAAAAGAATGTTCTTTGATAGTTTTCTGATACCCAGACGTTGCTTTATGGAAGGCCCACAGACCTTGTTATGGTGACCTTCACATCCTCGAGGTAATGGAGTGTGGGTTTGTATTCAGAGAAGGGAACTGGCATTACCTCTGCACAGGTCTTATGAGAAGTCACTTAGCCCATTTATTTAAAAAGCTCCTGGGTACAATTTACAGCTCCATGTATAAATTGGATACTTCTCTCTGGAAATAGCTGGGTTTCTTTTCTGTGTGGAAGCCTATGTGCTTCCACAAATATTTGATGCATATTCCTAATTACAGCAAGTCTTCTTTCATGGTTTTTTGAAAAAAAAAGGTCCTGCCTGCTCTACACAATAGGAATGGGGCATTTTTGTTAGCAGGTATGGTAGTAAAATATGTGTATAGGTGTTTTGCTGGGCTAGTTGACAAGAAGCCCTACCTTGTCTAATGTGTTTTCACAGTTCATGTCTGATTATGCCTAGAAAATCCCTAGTCCTTGCCTCGTGTGAATGCATGTAGGTGTTTATATTCTGAACACAGAAAATGAGCAGAATTCAAATACTCTTTTAAGCATATTTGAATTGTTTATCAGCTACTCTGAAACTTCAAACCAGCTCATAACACTTTCAGTATGAAACCCAGGCTCAGGTGTGACCTCACACGCAGGCATTAGTAGTTATGTTTCTTTTTTATTTGGCAAGGCAAGAGCTCTTATTTCAGGAAGGAATACAGGGATGTTCCCTGCAAAATCCACCAATGAATAAAATTACTTTCAGCTAAGTTTAAAAACAAAAATACTGTGCAGAAGGCTCGCAGTGAAACGTGTCCATTTCTTCACTCTTTGAGAAAGGACTTGAAGACCAAAAGCACATTTTGAAAGCTCAGAGAAAAGTACCATTAGGATTCTAAATTATACGGAAATATATTGATGTCCCTAGTGGGACTGACAGAAGAAAGCACGGGTGGCATGTGCACTTCAGTGCAGGTACATCATGGTGTTATGGGTCACTGAAGGCAAAACAAATCTCTACCAACTCCCTCTGAGTATTATGAATTTTATGAGTCTCTTAAAACTGTGTATTTTGCTTATAGCCTTAGGTCTATGTGGAAGAAAGGAATTCCTAACCTAAGTGCTTGCAAAGTCACCTTGAAATTTGAAGCTGGTCTGATCACTTTTGAGCAGAGTTACTACCAGTGGATGTAGGGGAAAACCTGCTGTTTGCCTTCAGTACACAAGTACTTAATCATAAGTGAAGAATTTGAGATCAGAGGCTCAGACTATCTGGAAAAAAATCATGTTTAGAATTTAAACAGTTGCAACTCCCTTTTTAATTGGCTGCTTGCTCAGCTCATCACACAGGAAAACCAGTTCTGGAGCTAGGAGTATTAATGTATTGGGTTGGTTGATTATTTAAATTGATTCAATGAATTCAAGCTCTAAGAAGGGGAAATTTATAGAAAAGAGAGGGAAAAAAAAACCTGCTGAAATAACTCAGTATATGCTCCCTGTTGCTTAGTTCTGGTCTTCTTGCATAATAATGTTTCAACATTCTTGATGTGTATTGGAATGTGGAGGAAGTAAAAACAAAACCACCCCCTGCTGTCATCTTCCTATTTTATTCTACTAGAAAGCCCAATTACCAGTCCCTGCTCAGGCAAACGCCTCATAATTCTGTGTTCATTCATTTCTTTAGTCAGACTTAACAAAACCACAGTGTGAAGGTATTCTCATATCTAGTTTATCAGAGATTTAGCTGTTAATCCAGAGATCTGTGAGAGTTGGTTCAGATGAGCTTTTATCTTTTAAATATATCTGTTATATATCTGTTAAATTCTGTTAAATTTCCTCTCTCTTAAAAATAACAGAAACAATGTCTGTGCTGATATGATTCCTGGGCTTTCAGTTATGTTTGGGGGTATTTCTGTGAAAAAACAAGCCCCCCAAAAAAGCAGGGGGCGAAGGAATCCAGCAAGGTGAGTAATGCTGTAATCTTACACAATTTTGTTAACTATCTGGTATCTGTTTCGAATTGTCAGTAGTTATCTGGAGCATCATGCTTGTTTTGGTGGCAGTAGGTGGCACGCCACCAATATTTATTTGCAAGAGTGCAGAGGACTGGTGAGTAGAAATCAGGGGACCTGAGGGATGTGTGCTCTGCAGGTACAGGAAATGTCATGGAGGGGCAAAAGAAGTAGTGCAGGAGCAACTGTTTGTAAAATGTATAGGCTTTAAGTGTCTCCTTAGACAAATCCATAGATGTTTTGCTTTCTGTTGAATTTTATCATTTCCAGCAACACCCTGTTTACCATAAAATATTTGGCAAGCTTTGTATAAAAATACTTTATTGGTGTTTTCCGAAGGTAGCAGACATAAGGAAAGGTACAAGTATATACTGACAATTCTCAGTACACTTAACTTCAAAGGATATATTTTAACCCATATATAATAGTCTGACTGAATATGTCACAAGACTGAAATATCTTATACACAAACCAAGACGTCATTTAAACCCTGACTTCAGATGACAATACTGATCTACTCCACACGTCACTGGAATAAAGCTGGAGAGCATATTCTCTCGTTCCTAGTGGCAGCCAAAAAGCAGTTGCTTACAACAGCGAAGTGTAGTTGGCAATCACATCATAAGCTTCTCCACACATGTCACTGGAATAAAGCTGGAGAGCAGCCAAAAAGCAGTTTGCTTACAACAGGGAAGTGTAGTTGGCAATCACATCATAAGCTTTTGGGTTCTACGTTACAGCATTTGGGTTTCTATTTGTAAATGTAGTTTTCAGACTTATGATCTTGAGCTTCCCTGTACAATACTGTTAAATATGAGCGTTTACCATGGCAACTAATTACGTATTTGTATTCCTATATCACTGAGCAGTGCCAACAGAGATGGGGAGTTGGTGTTTTGCTTTGTAGTCATGCTACCTCCCTTCCCAAAGAGGTTACAGACTAAATAGGAAAGTATGATGAAGCACAAGATGGGAAGAGGAGATTAAATGTGCAAAATCTCATGTTAAGATTCAGGATAGAGCCCTGGTCTCTTGAATTTGGTGCTGGTGTGGAATTTAGTTGACTACATAAGAAATAAATAAATAAATTGATGCTTATGTTGCCTGGATCAGCTCAACCCAGGTCTCCATTCAAATTACGTATTTTAAAAGGAAGCGTTGCTAAAATTAAGAGATCTGAAATTAACTTAACAAACAAACAAACCCCCAAACAAACAAAACCAAAACACACAAGATTGACTTCTCTCAGTGCTCGTCATTCTCTAACACTTTGCCAAAAGAGTATTTTTAAAATCCCACAGAAGAGATTTTAACATGTCTTTGGGTCATCACGATGGAGACTGTGGAGAAGCTGACGCCCCACTGGCACCTTTCCGACGGGCACAGCTGCCCTCTCCTCGTGTCGTGCAGGGCTAGGGACTGGGCTCACTCCCTTGGCACAGCTCTGGGTGGGAGGGAAGCACACCAGTGTGCTGTGGGAGCACTGGTCGGTATGTGGCTGGACACAAAGGACATTGGATCAGTTTTGAAGCAGGATCAGGGAATGCCAACAGGGTGCTTTGGGATGCTCAGCACCTCTGTGTCTGGCTGTAGAGTCCTTAGGGCAGAGATTTGTCCCTTCCTGGGGAGTGGAAGGGACATCTATCACACCACATCCACCGGGGATCTAGCTCATGGCTGCAGCTGCTGTAGCAATAATGATAAATGAGGTGTTTTCCTTCTTTTCTTTCTGTATCATCCCATCCATGTAATATCTTAAGAGTAAGGATAAAACGCTCCCGTTCACAGGAAAAATCAGGTCTGCAAACAGGTAAGCTGTAGTTTAGTCCAGTGGATTTTAGGTTGGATATTTATTCCTGTTGGCTGTTATTTTTCAGTTTTTCTTTATTTTAACAAAATGCTGGTGCTGCTCTGGCTGACTAGGTGGCAGCAGAGCTCTTTTGTGGCAACTCTGAGAGGCGAAAACAGATTTCACTGCCCGTGGTTAATGTCAAAAAACCCCCTTACCCTGGGAGATAAGGGGAGGGACTTTTTTTCAAGGGCAAGTAGTGATAGAATGAAGGGTGATGGCTTTAAACTGGAAGAGGAGAGATTGAGATGAGATCTGAGGAAGAAATTCTTGTGAGTGTGGTTAGACCCTGGCCCTGGTTGCCCAGAGAAGCTGTGGCTGCTCCTCCCTGGAAGTGTTCAAGGCCAGGTTGGATGAGGCTTTGAGCAACCTGGTCTAGTGGAAGGTGTCCCTGCTGATGGCAGGGGGATTGGAACTGGATGAGCTTTAAGGTCCCTTCCAACCCAAACCAGTCTGTGATTCTATTCTGTGTGATTTTGATGTTGATGGACTAGAATAAATTAATAGTGGTCTTACTGCTGCCTTCCTCACGTGCTCCAGACCATGTGCTCCCAGGTTCTCCCAAGGAAGAACAGTACTTTTCCATAACCTGGGTGTATTAAACCCAAGCTCTTCTCATCCACACACAGGGCTGGCTTCACTTGTAGCAGTTCTGAAGGGGATCGTGTGGTTGAATCTTTAGCTTCTTGGGACAGAGGAGTTTAATAAAAGCTCTTCTGAAGCTGTAGTGGCAGAGAGGGTAGAGGACAGGGTTGACAGCTGAGTTAATCCACAGCAGCCAGAAGGAAGTCTCGTACCAATAATCAGAGATGCAGTGGCCGTGGCAGCCAGCGCGGATGATCATCAGGAGAGTGTATGGTGCCCAGCAAATCCCAAAAATGCCCACGATGATTGCCAGTGATTTAGCCACTCTCTTGTCTCTAGAGAGCCTGAAGCGCTGAGTCATGCTCTGGGACACTATCTTCATCCGTTTCTCTAAGGACAGAGTGGATGCTGAATTTTTACAGCTCTTTTTGTTGCAATACTTGGGTTTCTCAGAGCCTGTTGACAGCAGGTCTTTGGCACCCAGGCTGGCAGTGGAAGCTGCTGCTGGAGCTTTGCTCTCAGAGAGGTCTAGGGTTTCAGTTGGCTCCTTCTGCTCCCACTTAGAGCATTTCAAAGAAAGCTTTGCTTCTGGGCTCATTTCCATCTCTTCAGTGAAGGACTGGTTGTGCACTTCGTGGAAAACATCCAGGCGTATTTTGGTACGTTTCTGTATGTTCAGGTAAATGCTCAGGTTGAAAAACATTACACTGATGAAAGGGGTGAAAAACTCCAGCGTGGAGGCTGTCATGAGAAAATACCAGTTGTAGAAAAATTCAGCGTAGCATTCCCCAGTGGGTATGATGCTCTGACCTGAGATATACTCCCAGCTGATAATGGCAGGTCCGTAAAGCAGGAACGCCAGTACCCACACCATCACCATCTTCAGCACCGCTCGCTTGATGTTGCCTTGCTGGGCTCTGTAGGCAACCTGCAATGGGGAAACCTTTCCTTAAGTATGGCCACACACCCCAGCTGCCTGAGGCTCTTCACAAACAAACCCTTAGTGTTCCTGGTAAAGTTGCTAGGCAATATCCCAGCAGTCCAACCAATTCAGATGCCATAGCCAACGGGAGCAATTGCCAGATAAATCACACTCCTGCAGGGAAGACTTAGAACCCTCATTTTACAGCTCCAAAACTAGATGTGGCACCTGATTAATGGAAATGTACTGACTTGGTTGGAGCCCAGCAGTCTCCAACTTGCCCAGGTTGTCCCCAGCTACTCTCTGCAACTCCTGGGAAGAGGGATGCCTCAAACTCCTGGTCTAAGCAGGCATCCAGCTCTGGCTCTCTCCAAACCTTGTAGCTAATCCATGTTGTATTTGGAGTCAGGGAACGAGCAACCAGCGATGGAGCTGATCTCCCTGTGGATTGCTCGTTACCTCCTGCAAAAGGCTGAGCGTTTTCATCTCCCCACGTACCCAGAGACCTCCGGGCAGTGCCCTGCTGAAGTTGGTGCTGTGATCTACTGCCTTGGTAGCCAGGGAGAAGCTGGGAGTCCAACTGCAATCCACTTGTTTGTCCTGGAGATAATAAGTCCCTGCAAGTTAGTAATGGGTCTGCTTACCTCGCTGACTCACTTGTACACTACCGTCCTGTCATCGGGGAAGGGAACACCTGCACAATGGGGTCTGAACCTTCAATGATTTAATTATGCCAGAAATACTAATCTGAAACCACAGCTGAATTATGTATTTGTGGATAATTATTGCTTTCCATCACCAGGCTGAAAGATTCATAATTTCTGGAGGATTCAAAGAGCTATTAATTATTGCAGAGGACCTGGAGAATAAAACAGGAGGAGAGTTATTGCTCTCCCAGCTGCCATGACAGGACTCACCGCTCTTGTCACCGAGAGGAATCTGTCATAGCTAATCAGGACGATGTTGAAGACCGAGGAGGTGCAGAGCAGGTAATCAACTACCAGCCAGAGTTTGCAGAGGCTTCTCCCGAAGATCCATCTCCCCGTCAGCACATAGGGCACGTACAGGGGGATGCAGAAGGCACCTGCAACCGGAGGGCTCTGTTGGCGTTGAGATGCGGGGGTCTGCATGGTCGCTGCCCCCCGGGCCAGAGTCCTGCACCCGCGGGGGAAGGACCCGCACGGTCAGGGAGAGCAGCCCCGGGGGATGCGGGGAGGGGACAGGAGGGTGCGGGGGACAGGAGCGGGGGCACTGCCTGGGGGAGACCCGGAGGTGCGGGATGGTGCGGGGGCAGGAGCGGGGCACTGCCTGGGGATACCCGGGGGTGAGGAAGGGTGAGGGGCAGGA